GTGTTCAGAACTTCTCTGACTACTTGGGAGGCCCTGGTCAGCTGTCACCTTTATTAATTAACCCCAAGGGTGCAGCAAGCCTGCCTGGAGGGGCTTAGCCAGTCACTTGCCCTATTTTAAAAAGAAACCCATATTTTTTGCTACAAACACTCATTACCCTAAAAGTGCTTTTCCCTCTGAAATTACTCTATGAATTTAATGTGATCCCAATAAAAATAGGAATAGAATTTTTTTTTTATGATTACAGAAGGTTTATTCACAATTTCCAAAAGTTGGAGGCAACCAAGATGTTCTTCAGTGGATCAATATATAAAATAAATGGTGATATATCTATGAAAGTGAATATTATTCACTGAGATACAAAGAAATACACTGTGAAGCCACTAAAAGACATGAAGTAACCTTAAATATATTTTACTCTGTAAAAAGACCCAATCAAAAAAGGCTACACTATAAGATTAGGAATAGAATTTTTAAAAAGTTTTTTTTTTTAAACTTGGCCGATTCTAAAGTTTATAAGGAAAATTTAAACATAAAGAAAAAAAATCTAAAAGGGAAGGGAATCAAGCTCCATCAGATATTAAAACACATATAAAGATATGTAATTAAAATAGTGCAGAACTTGTACATGACTCTACAGATAGGTAAGTAACGCAGAACACAAAGTCCAAAAGCAGTCCCAAACAATAAAGTTTAATAAAGATAAATTATTCACAAAAGAAACTAGAACTGAGTAACCATCTAGAAAATAATCAAGCTATAGTTCAGCTTGTCACAAGGCTCAACTTATATATACTTTTTTAACATAATACTATATTTTTTATATGGTGCTGAGGATCAAAATCACACAAACTAGGCAAGTGCTCTACTACTGAGCTACAACTGCAGCTGCAAGGCTTAATTATTGATGAATAATATTTATATATTTATATATAAGCATTTAATATTATGTATTGTAAGTATATTTATATGTATATTATAAACTATAAATATGGTAAATCTAGAAACTTATTTATATGTTTTCTATCTACATGTTTATTTATATCATACTTGATTCATATTTTAGTATGATGATATTTAATATAAACAAAATATTTACAGAAGTCCATAAAAATCTTAGACAAGACAGTGAGAAAATTCTATTACAATCTCAGAGTAGAGATTGTACCTAAAGATTGTAATCTGGAAGCCACAGATTTAAAAATGATAAGTTAATAATATTTAAATAAATTTAACTACATTAAGGTAAAAAAATACATCATAAAGCCACAATAAACAAAGTCAAAGTAGAAAAAATAACACAGAAAATATCTGTTATTCAGATCCTAGGCCAAATGTAAAATTTTCTGGCAGATAAAGAAGAAAAGGCCACATCCAATAGGAAACTAGGCAAAGATATAAACAGAGTTAATGGAAAAAGAAAAAAATTACGAATACACATCCTTACTCATCATAGAAGAGATGTAACATAGAACTATACTGAGATATCATTTTGTTTTAATCTTTCAGATTGGAAAATTTAAAAAGTGTGATTCAGGGCTGGGGTATAGCTCAGTAGGGGAGCCCTTGCCTAACATATATGAGGTCCTAGGGTCCATATCCAATATTTCAAGGAAAAAAAAAGGTTTGATTTCCTAAGGAGGCTGCAGGGAAATAAACACTCTCATAACCCATCAGTGAATGCAGAGATCGGGGCAAACTTTATAAAGGCCATCTAATAATATCATCAGTGTGCTCAGCAGCCATCTCCAGTGATCTTCCCTCCAGACACACTCACATGAGAAATGGTGTGTGCAATGCAACACTGCTTGTAATAGCAAGACTGGGGACAGCCTAAATGCCCATTCAGAGGGGACTGCTGAAATAAATTATGGCCCATCTTTACAATGAAATGCAGCCATATAACAGAGCAAAGGTGCTGTTGAATGAAATGATCTCCAAGAGATGGTAAGCAAAACAAAGCAAGATACAGAACAGTATGTATAACAAAAAGAACAAAAAATGGGGAAAAATGAAAAAAAAATAGGAAAAGGAAAAAGAAAAATGCTGGAACACAGTGTATTACCACCTTTGGTAACTCAAATCTGTACACTCTGAAGTTATTTTTGGATGATCTGTTATATAAAAAAGCAATATGTACCCTGCATGCATAGATTATGGTCTTATTATCATAAAAGTTAGTCTATTGCCATTGATAGACTATTGAGATGATATCAGTCTTGTAGTAAAAAAGAATAGCTTAACATTAGATATTCTAAAATGAAAATTACTTTTTGGCAGAAGTTCTCCATAATCGTTGGTCTATACTGAGATGACAACAAATGACCAATCAACTGGTTTACCCCAGTATCCCTCCAAAGTGTGATCTATAGAAATCAGTTCCTAAAGAAGTTAACAGGTATTCCTTGAGAAAACTTTATGTGTTATGACAAAATAAGTTCAGGAAAGGCAAAGCTAACCAGGTCGAGTATAGAGACTTCTTTCAATACATTCACATGGTGACGTTCCCTGAGATGGGTGGAGGGGAGCAGGGCGTAAAATAAATGCCTTCTTGGACTCTGGAACTTGTTATTGACATCTCACATGGCCAGTGCCCCATGGAGTCCACTGGAAATGCTGGATCACTTAGGGTACATTGTGTATCTGGCTCACCCTGTCAGATTCCCCAGAAAGCTAAACTGCCCAGAATCAGATATTCCCACTTGCACCACCCTAGGTGCTTCTGACAGTATCTGTGCCTTTTGTTTTCTCTCTCCAGCTCTTTTTTTTATTTTTTGAGACAAGATCTTGCTAAATTGCTGCGGATGACCTTGAACTTGTGATCCTCCTGTCTCAACCTCCCAGGTCGATGGGATGACAGGTATGTGCTACCTCGCCTGGCACCCTCTTTTTTCTGAATTGTCTTTTCTTTAGAACTGGCTGCTTTTCTTTACATGGTTGTTTTGTGTTGCTTGGTTGGGTTGGGCCTTGCATTCCCTTTGAATGAGACGAGGCCCATGTAAACAGGAATTCTGCCTCCGTCACCATATAGCTCTGACTCACTATCTCTTGTCTGATTTTTTTCATCCTGGGAGCCTGATGCTGGCATTCATCTGTCCAGTGTCTTGGTCATACGCAGGGTCAGAGCAGGGTCACTGTAGATATTTATCATCGACTGGACAGAATTTGTGCCTTCCTAGGGGAGGAAGTTTGGTGTCGGTGATACCTCTTTTAGCAGGCCTCTGCTGGATGTAGCCATGTTAAAAGAAGCCAACCCTGCCTGGAGGTTCCTCAGTCCCCCAGTCAAAGTGCTGGCAGCAGTTGGACAGAATTGGCCATTCCTTCACTAAGACTGCCCTACCCCGGCTGAGCTGTCCTGGAAGACCCTGGAGCTGAGGGGCTGGGAGGACTGTCAGTGTTCCACCAGCCTTGTGCTTGTCAAGCAGGGGCTGCCTATTATAGCACAGGATTCAGGGGCCTCCTGTCCCCTCCCCGCAACATGTCTACATCATCTAGTCTTAGTTTCTATAACAGGAAAAAAAAAAAAAACCTCTCTCTCCACATTCAGGATAAGACTTAGGTTGCAAATACTGTGGAAAGTGAACCCTTGGATTTAAAACCTCAGGGTTTCAGGGAGAAGATGAGAGAGGTAAGGTTCTGGGAATGCGGAGCCTGTGTGGTTGGAAGGAAATTACCCAGAGGAGGGGGTCCAGAGTCTCAAAGCCAGGCTTGCTCATTTATCTTTTGCTAAGGTCAGCACCGAGATTCCCTGTCTTCCCCATTGGGATCTCCAGGATCCCCATGAAGGGCAAGTCTGGTTGGGGGCTGGGTTCACGCCTGTTCTCCTGAAGCACTGATCTTGCTGGCTGTCTATGGCTTCTGACTTTCATCCATCATCTTCTCTGACACCGGTTTGCCTCCGGGCACCAGGAGACACCTGCCCCTACTCCACCCTTTCCGGGTTCTAGGACTTTGGCTGCCCTCTCCCTCCCCTGTGGCTGGCTTTGTTTCCCCGCCAAGCCACTTGGGATCTCCCTTCCTGGTACCTTCCTCTGAGTCCGCCCTTTCCACATTGTCTTAGGCACCTCTCTGCCGTATTGTGCTGAGCCAATCAGATAGGCAGGCTGTCCTTACCATCAAGGAATGAGAACCTTGGACACTTGGTGTACAGAACAGCCAGGCCAGGCAGGGATACCAGGCAGGCTAGATGGTGAGGGTTCCAAGTAAGTGGAGCTGATGTGCTACCTCCTGGACTTTGGCTGGCCCCCATCACTCACTACTAGGCACCAGGTAAATGGCTTCAAGGGCACCCCACAGGTACCCCATGTCCATTCCGGACCTTCAGGTGACCCCCCCCCCAAATCAGAATGGAGCTCAGTGGAAAGACCTCTGAGCTAGACCTAGGAAGCCTGACTAGAGGTGGGTGGGAATGAAAACTGGATTGGTGGCCAGAAGACCTGGATTTGGGTCCTGATCCTGCTGTTTAGGATTATGTGAACTTGGTTATATTTCTTAATTTCTCTGGCCTGTGTTTCTCAGCTGTGGAAGAGGGATAATGACAGGGCACATCCTCAGAAGGTTACTAGGATCTGATGCAAAAGCGGATCTGGAAGCCCAAATATTTTGTGCACATTTTGCCTGTATGCAAATATATGCATTTTTCTAGGGGAAGGAGTCAGGTTTCTTTCTCATCCCACTCCAAAAGATTACGAAATGCTACAGTCAGAACATGGAGTTCAAGTCTTGGCTCTGACTTGGGGACATTACTCAGTTTCCTTATATATAACATGAATTTAATACTAATAATCGGCCTTCCCCAGGAGAGAAATAAATGGGAGAATATATAAAGTACTTAAAATAGTGTTTGTAAGTATTTTCTGTTTTTTATTTTCATTATGTGCAAACCTTGCCACGTTTGGCAGTGTGTACTGAAAAGGGTGTGGCTAGTGAGGGGTGGAGAGGAGTGTGGCTGAGGAGGGAGTGAGGAGGGAGGGTGGGGGGAAGGACTGGGACCCCTGAGAGACAGAGCATATGTTTCATCTTCCTGAGCCTCTAAAAACTTTCAGGAAAAAAAAAAGGGGGGGATAGAGTTCAAATGAGGAAATAAAGGTATAAAATGAGCCCTGATAGATCTTGGGTGCAATATGTTTATCAAGACCCAGAAGTGACCACTGCAGGGTGGTGGCCCCATTTGGACCCAGAGCTCCAGCGGAGACTATGGAGCTCCCCCTTTACTTCCATCCAGTGCTCTTCTCCACCTGGGGTGAAGCAAGCTTTATAGTCCTTTGTTTGCTTTGTCCATCACAGAACACAAGGCAAGAGGGGACTTTAGGAGCCAACCCCTCCTTTTGAGTCTGCAGTCATGAGCACTAGTCTCTCCCTAGGCCTCTGGGTTGTGGGTGCTCCCAAGGAACCATTACTGTCTTCCTGTCTAAGGCAGGAGAGCATCCCAGTCTTGATTTCTCCATTTATTCAACAACTATTTACTGACATTTTCTCTGGCCTACTCTGAGGCACCTGCTGAGACCACCTGAGCCACATTTGCACAAGGACTTCCAGGGAGTGCCCTCCAAATCCAAACTTCCCCTACCCCTGCTAATTTGTTTGGTGAAGGCGGTCTAAGTAGAGTTTGGGATGTTAAGATAGCACGGCTGCCCCCTCCTTGCAGGGTCACTCAGGCTACCTGGATGAAAGGACTAATTGTCTCCAGCTGGGCTGGCCCTCTTGGGGTTTTGCTGTGAGCACCCCAGGTATCCATAGCCTTCCCTCTGCACCCAGGCTCACAAACAGGACCCTGGCAACCCAGGGCGTGCCCAGACCCTCCCCTGAGGACAGACCTCTCTTATGAATGGCTTCTTTAAGCTCCAGGGCCCTCTTCTGAAAAGAGAAATTCATCCAGGGCCATGTCAGTAAATTTCCAGAGCTGCGCTCCCCCTCCCCCCACCCCACCTCCACATCCTGAAGGAAACTTCTGTGTACCGGCTGAGGCCACCTGGGCCACTGCAGGGAGCAGGACAGGGCTGGGTTACTCAGATTTGCGGCTGCTTGGTGGGTTTTCCTGGGAGGTGAGGGGGGCGGGTGGGGAATGATACTTGTTTTCTTCTTTCCCTTCCTTTGTGGCTGTCTTTCCTTCCCAAACAGGAAAGCAAAGAAGAGTTGGGAGGTCCTACAGGGAATCCAGGACATGCTAGGCTTCTGATTCAGCTGTCCTTGTCACAGCTTCGTCCCACTAGAGCACAATGGCCTGTTGACAGTCCCAGTGTAATGGAAGTTCTGCAAGGGCAGGGGTGGTGTCTGGCCATCTATTGATTCAACCTCACCAGCCACAGTTAACAGTCCCCATCCATGCCTGCAGAGGGGAGCTTGTGTTTGATGAAGTAATACACAGCCACACACACACACACACACACACACACACACACACACACACACACACACACACTGTGAACCTAAGAAGCTCCTCATCTTGGAGAATACAGATGGGAAACCAAGCCAGTGCCAGCTGTGTCACTCCTGGAAGCCCTCCAGCTGCCTCTGCACTCAAGATTCCCTCTCTCCTCTGTCCTTCCTCCTGTCCACTCAGGTTGGGTATCTCTTCTTCCTCCAATCTAGTCTCAAGCTCCTCGTCTGCTTATCCGCTCCTCCATGACAGCCCCATGCAGGCAGCTAGCTCACAGCCAGTTGGGATCAGACATGGAAACTCGATTACAGAATCGGGGTGGGGAGCTGGGACTGGGCGAGGTGGGTGGAAGCATTTTCAGGGAGACGGACGGTCAAGGATGCAGACACCAAAGGCTTGAGGGAGGGACACAGTCCAGGCCAGGCGGGCAATGTGGGGTGCTGGGTGGGTAGAGAGGGCTGAAGCTGGAGAGTTTAGGGTAGACATCTAGGGCTGCAGCTTTGAAATCTGAACTAACCCTGGAGGGCATTTAAAGTAAGGTTCCTTCTTACCCTTTCCTTCCAGAAAGCACTTGCTTTCTCCCTGCTGGGGAAGTGCACTCTGCTCCCTTACCAGGGCCATTGAAGGCCCTCCCCCCACCTCTCTCCTTAGTCATCCTTGGGGACTCATCCTTTGGATGCCCCTCTTAACCTCTTGCTGTTCCCCTTTCATGTCCTTATGGTAAGGGTCACCACATCCCAGCTGACTCCTATCAAAGCACGATCCCCACTTACATTTAGTTCATCTACTTTATCGTTTGCTTCTGCCACTTCCATCAGCTACCTGAGGAGGAAGCTTTTGGCAGCAATGAATTAAAGACAAAATGAATTAAAGAACAGGGAGACACCTACAGCGAGAATCTAGGTGAGAATTAAGGCCTGCTCTGGGGTAATGGGGAAATAGGAGGACAAAGAGACTTAGGGACATACTGAGAACCCAAAAGAGAAAGGACTGGTTGGATGTGGGGATGGGAGGCTGCAGAAAGAATCTTTATGTATAGAGGTTATTTTATCTTGTTTTACTGAAGCTCCCAGTCCATAGCTTTTTCTATGCCAGGAACCCAGTAAATCTGGCTGACTGGAAGCCGAGAGGCAGAGGCTGGCCTGCGTGTCTCAGAGATGGGTGAATGGAGTCCAGAGGCTGCCAAATCAGCCCAGCTAGAGTCCCCTGCCACCTGGCACATTGGGAAGACCTGAAAACACCCTCAAACCCTGACAGGCTGGTACCCTAGCTGCCTTGGGTCTCCACTGGTAAAGGGCAAAAAGGAGGAGAAACTATGGTCTCTTCTAAAATGGCAGCAAAAAATATCTCTAGCCTTTACATGCTCTTCCAGAACCTTGTATACCCCATCAAGGGGTGGACCTCTGCTCCCTCCCCTTGAACCCTGGTGAGCTTTTCCTCTATCTTAATGAACAGGATTCGGCAGAAGTGATGCTATGTGACTTGTGGGGCTGGGTTGTAAAAGATGACACAGTTTCCTGGCTCCCTCTTGAGACAGACATCATTGTGTGAAGTTCAACCACTTTCATCCCCCCAACACTAGAGAGACCACATAAGAGACAGAGGCCCTCGAGACCCCAGTTGATCCAGCCTTCAGCCCTCACATCAGACATGTGGGCAAGAGGAGGCTTTCAGATGACTCCCTCCATGTCTTCATCTGACTTCACCACCTGAGGGACCCTGGGGGAGTCACCTCGCTCAGCCCAGTCATCCTTCAGAACCACAAAAAGGAATGATCAGATGACTCATTCATTGTTCATTTTGAGGAGTGGGATATACCAGCTACAGGTACAAAGATGTCCCTGAGCTCTGTGCCTGGAGTGTGCAATTTGATGCATGCCAGAAACAGGAAGATGGCTCTGCTGAGCAAGCCTTCGCCTCTAGGTATGCCGGCAAGAGAATCAAGCCAACACTGAGATGCCTGTGTCAGGATGCCTAGGACGCTTGCTCTGCAGCCCCCAGGGCACCCTGGACCTGAGATGTGCTCCACACTCTCCCGAGGTGTGGTTTGGAAGGGTGCCTGGGCCAGGATGCCAAGGAGACAGACAGGTCTGCCGGGAAAAATGAGAGAGTCCTCCAGGAAGTAGGGAGGGCCCCCTCTCCTCCTTTGGGATCCTCCCAGGGCTGTGGAAGCTTGGCATTCCTCTCCCACATGCTCAGATATCCCAATGATTCTGCCCCGCCCCTGCCTGCTCAGTGTTCTGCCTGCAATGTTTACTCATCTCTGGGGCCATGCTCTACCAAAGCGAGACTGGCAGGTAAGGATTCCACTGGGATCCTTTTCAGTTGGCCACTCCAGTGCACCAGGCTCCCAAATGTGCTTTGCAGTCCAGTGACCTCCCTGGGACTTTATGTTTCCACATCTCTCTCTCTTTGTTCCCTCTCTACCAATGGTTCCCAACGGAGGGCATTCCCAACCTTTCTCCACTGGGGACATTTGTCAATGTCTGGAGACATTTTTGATTGTCACACACTGAGAGGAGCTATTGGCATTAGTGGGTAGAAGCCAAGGGATGCTGCTGAACATCTTACAATACACAGGACATCCCTTCCCCAGGAAGAATTACCCACCCCCAAATGTCAATAGTGCAAAGCTGAGAATCCGGGCCCTGGCTTCAATCTTGCTTGTCTCATTTCTGTTGTGCTTTGTTTTTTGCTTTCCTTGCTGGTGGCTGGATAAAAGATAAACAGACCAAGACATTGAAGGCTGCTTCTGGCTACATTTTACTCTTCCTGAGACAACAGTATTTTAAGTCCCCAGCAGACCTGACACCCTGGCTGAAAAGGAGGGAAGGGACAAAGGTCTCCTGGTCCTAAGTAGCCCAGGAAGGGAGAATCCCTGCTCTCAGGCAGCTGTGGGTCTTAGCTTTAGAAGGACCAACTTAGGACCATCTGGAGCTGATCAGAAGGGGATTCTCAAGAGGAGACACACCCGGCCCAGTGCCAGGCCTGTGGCAGGGTGACAGGGTGACTGATGAGTCATACTGGGCCAGTCCTCTTGTTACTCATTTCACAGCCTGACAGCAGCCCAGAGAAGAATACCCCAAACCACAGTTCCCCACACATGTCTGATCACTTGTCATTTACTTCAGGGTTGGGAGAAGGAGGGGTGCAAACCCTTTGCTTCACCCTCATCCCCACTTCTGCAGGAGGGGAGGCCCTAAAACGCAAGACTGGAGGGAGACGGCAATGCTGGGGCATAACATTCCCACTTTGGATTTTGGTAGCAACTCTGGAAGCCTGATGAGTCCCCTCCCTTTCTCAGCCACACCCTGGAACAAGAGGACACACCTGTTGAAGTCTCATCTTTGTGCCCTTGTTCCCTGCAGCTCTGACCCTGATGGACCCCTGCTCCCATGGTCACTAGCTGATACCACAGTATTTATGTCCTAGTATCCCAGAGAGGTGGCTCCTCATGCACCATGGCTGCCTGCTCACCCTTTTCTTCCTATGGTCCTGCTGCCCCCAACCAGAGCCATGGGAGAAGAGAGAAGAGGAAACCCTGCCCTGTGCTGCAGATCCTGTCCCAAACTCCCACTCTCCAGGAACTCTCCTTCCTCACCTCCTGGAGGAACCAGAAGGACAACATCTGTTTTTCTTGCTTCTTCATAGTCACAGTGTTGAGCTAAAGGTAAAAAGTCTCACTGGGGCCAGAGACAGCAAAACGCAAGAAAAACATCAGACTGAGGGTTGGCCCATCAAGATTTTCTCACTCTTATCCCAGTGCCCAGAGAGATGGAGGAGCCGCCCCAGAGGCCCTGGGTTCCCAGGACCCCTTTCAGTCATGTAGTCTTAAGATGTGCCCCCTTGTGGGAAAAGGGAAAAGGACTCAATCATCGTCTTCCATTTCACAGATGGGTACATCATAGGAGCTTGTGGCTGAAAATCACAGGACACTGGAGGCAAGTGCCATGTGGGAAGAGGAGAGAGTCCAGGTCATAGGGCACTAATGGTCTCTGGCCTCAGTCTCTCCTACTCTGAACTTCATGTGCATTACTTCATCTTCACTGTCCTCTGAGGTAGGCACTATTATTACCCCCATTTTATAAATGAGAAAAACTCAGGCTTGACAAAGATAATGGTTCAATCAAAGTAGCAGGGCCAGTATGTGGCAGAACTAAGAGACCAGGGTCTCTTAGTTCTGGATACCCAAGTCCTTGCTCTTGCCCCTGATGTTTACAAATGTTTACTGATATATATGTATCCTGCTTGGCTCTGATGTGAGGGCTTTCCCATCCCAAAGAGTTAAGGATGGGAAGATGACAGGCTCATGGGGAGCAGGCAGGAGCCCCGAAACACCCTTGTTACCTGTGATTTCATGGAGGAGCTCCATTCTACCACCCTACTCCCAAAGCTCCAACTGTTGGCTGTGCTGTCCAGTGCAGCAGCCACAGGGCACATGTGGCTATGTACATATAAATTAAACAAATTACAAATCAATCCCTCAGTTGCATTAGTCATATTTCAGTTGCTCAACAACCACATGTGGCTAGTGGCTACCATATTGGGCAATACAGATAGATATTTTCATCATTGCTAAAATCCCAGTACTGAACAGTGCTGGTCTAGCTTGTCTCATTGTATACTCGATGGCCAACCAGAGGCAGTGTTGACCACGTCCTCCTGGGGCTCCACTGTACAGTTGCTGGCCAGGACCAACCAGATGTCATGGAACACACAGATCTTCATTTCTGAACTCCCAGGTGGGGGTCTCTCTCTGGCTGATACTGCTGGGGACTGATGCTGAACAAGGATCCATGGACCTTGGAGTGGAGCTAATATTGCTTATAAACAAATCTCAGTCAGCCTGAGGCAGGTGTGTAGGGTGGTGAGTGGAGGGTGGGAGATTTTAGAGTTACGGAAAGTCCTAAGTAGTGAGCTTTAGGAAAATCTGATCCAACCCTCTTAGAAATGAGACAACAGGGGTGTGGCCTGGCTCCTGGCGACTGGCAGCTAGTGGAAAAGCTGAGGGAGCACCCAGCCTAGGGAAAAGTCACATTCTGATCCACAGGCCTATGGGAGCAGGCAGGAGCCCCGAAAAACCCTTGTTACCTGTGATTTCATGGGGCAGCTCTGTCCTACCACCCTACTCCAAGGCCAAGGACAGATCTGTCCTTAGGCATTGGGATGAGGCTGTTGCGGTGAGATCTGACACTCAAGGCTGGGGCCAGCCAGGACAGGACAGGGACTTCCAGGTAAAATAGCAGGGTTAATAACTCATCCCTGCCCTGTTCATGAGTGAGCTTAGACGCGGCAGCCTCAGGGGAGAAAAGCTGCAAAAGAGCATTTATGACAGAAGAGAAGGAGAGGAAAAGGTGACTCAGGGGCACTTACATCTGCCCCAGGAGGGTGGGTGGGGGCTGCTGCTGGGGGTGAGTGTGTTGTGAGGGCCGAGAGTGGTGATGATGATGATTTTTTTTTTCAAATGTTTACTCTTAAGTTTTAGGTGGACACAATATTTTTATTTTACATTTATGTGGTTCTGAGGATCGAACACAGGGCCTCATGCATGCTAGGCAAGCACTCTACACTGAGCCACAACCCCAGCCCAATGTGATGATTATGTTTAAGGAAGAAAACAATGGATTTACTTTCTCCATCAAACCAGCCGACCCCTATATTCTAGTTTTCTTTTTTAACTCCATGCATTTTTGTTTTCCTTAACTGTACCTCCAAATCTGAACAGCGGGGCATCCTACAAAGTCCCTGGCCAGTACTCGAAATTGTTAAGATCATCAAAAACAAGAAGACTGAGAAATTGTCACAACCAAGAAGAGTCCAGGGAGACATGACAAAGACATGTAATGTGGTATCCTGGGGTGGAGGGGACCCTGGGTCAGCAAAATGACGTTAAATAAAAACTAAGGAAATCTAAATAAAGTATGGACTTGAATAGTAATGTATTGATACTGGTTCATCAACTGGAGCAAGGGAGCAATACAAATGTGCAATGTTAATAGCAGGGGAAGCTGGGTATGGAGTCACATGGAATTTTCTGTACTGACATATCATTGTTTATTTTTTTAAAAATAAATCTAAAACTATTCTAAAAGAATGAAATTAAGCTTGTTAAAATTATTAAGGGAACCAATTATAAAGGTAAATTTAAAATTTATCATTTTAAAATTATTTAAAACAGTCAGAAATTCAACTTCTAAAATCAAAGCGTGCGCATCTGCCCCATTTATGTTTATTTTCTCCCCATATATTTCTTATTTTTAATTTTTAAAAAAATTTTTTGTAGTTATAGATGGACAGCATGCCTTTATTTTATTTGTTTATTTTTATGCAGTGCTAAGGATCGAACCCAGTGCCTCACACATGCTAGGCAAGTGCTCTGCCACTGAGCTACAGCCCCAGCCTTCCCCATATATCTTTCTACTCTTCTGAGAGCTACTACCTGTGTACACCCCAGGTTTGCCTTCTGCCACCTTGATACTTCCTTCCTTGGATTTTTGAGCTTTTCAAAGGCTTTGGCTCCCAGCTCAACTTATTTCCTGTTTCTCCTTTTCCCTTTTCTCCTCCACCCTCTTTCTCTTTTATGATTTGGCAAAAGGACTTTTCACATAGTTGGACTCAGTAACAATCTATGATCCCTTGAATTGGCTCAGGACTCTACAGTGAGCCAAGTGTGTTTGCCTGTATCAATCTCACTTTTCTCCAGCTCTGGGAAGGAAAGCTTTTCAATATAGGTGATTTTCCATGGGGTTATGCCCTCATAAGCCCAATGTAACTTGAAAATGTCCTGAGTCAAAAGACATTTAATATTTTTTTATGTATCGGTCAAAATAGTAAATTATGTTAAAAACAATGCATGTAACAAACCTAAATTACTAAACACCATAGTTTAGTCTAGCTTACCTTAAGTATGTTCTGAGCCCCTTAAGTGTGCTCAGAGCTGACAGTTGGGCAAAGTCATCAAACACAAAGCCTATTTTAGGACAAAGTGTTGCACACCTCTTGGTTTGTTGTTGTTGTTGTTTGGCACTGAGGTTTGAACCCAGGAGCATCCAACCTCTGAGCCACATGCCTGGCCCTTTTTATATTTTACTAAGAGACAGGGTTTCACAAAGTTGCTTAGGGCCTTGCTAAATTGCTGAGGCTGGCCTTGAACTTGCAATCCTCTTGCCTTCTGGCCTTGAACTTTCTCCTCCCGTGCCATTGGGATTACAGGCATGCTTGGCCACCGTGCGTGGCACACCTCATGTATTTTAGTGAACCAATACACTATAGGACACTGTAGGGGGTGTGTCCCCTCAGGATTGTGTGGTTGGCCGGGAGTTGCAGCTTGCTGTTACTGACAGGGTAAAGAGAGTCTCGTGCAGCACACATCACTACTTAGAAAAGATCAAAATTCAAAGTACTGTTTCCACTGAATGGATATTGTTTTCACACCACAGTAAAGCTGAAAATGGTAAGCTTGACTATTTTAAGACAGAGACTTCTGTATTCCTATTATATAAAAGAATAAATGAAGCTCAGAAAGGTTAGGTTACCTGCCCAGAGTCACACACAGGCTCATAAGGAGCAAGACTGGAAAGCCACCATCTGTCTGGCTCCTTCCACCTCTCTGCACAGTTGGGCTGTAGAGAGGGCACCCTGTGGCCAAATACTTTCCCATAGTTGTTCTGGGAGTCCAGGTCATTCCTGAGGTTGGTTAACAGGGTGACTCAAACTCTGAGGGACCCAGAGAAAAGGCTACGCTGTTCCAACAGCTGTGACAGTACTGTCAGCCTTGGTCTCTTTCCCAGGCAGATAGAGGCCTGCTGGGCACAGTGACCTGTATCTTCCAGACTGAGGAGCTGCCTTGACCTGTGATCTGTGTAGTGGCCCAGTGAAAACCACCAGAAGTAAAAGAAGCTCCAGACTTGGAATTTCCTGGGCCCCTGGGGGGGCCATTCCCATTGGCAATCACCTGTAAGCACTTGGTCCTTCCAGCAATTACAGAGCCATATTTGACCATGGACAACACCTGGCTGAGGCTCAGTCTGCATTTTCAGCCTTAAAGGCAGATTTTTCTTTGCTGAGTTTATTCCTCCAACAGCCAAATTCTGCACTGCAGGTGGCTCACTGTCAGCACAGCTCTGCAAAGAGTTTGAATCACTGGAGGGGGGAAGCTTTGAAGCTGAGCCTTCTGGGAAAGAGAGTGAGAGCCCTCTTTGGATTAACCATTGCTGGGAAGCACAGTGAAGGCAGCCAGGCATTGGGAGTGTACAAGTCTAAGGATACCCTCCATCCCCCCGCCCAGGTTCACTGGGTCAGCTGAGTGAGTCTCAGGGTAGAAAACGCACACAAAGAATTTCACCCAACATCGATACTCAGCTCAGCACGGTGGCGATCCAGAGGCAGTCTTGGGATGATTACATGAGATAATGTAATGAAAAAGAGCTCTACAAGTCACTCACTATTACACAGGTGACCGTCACAGATATTATTCCATAAGTGAGATGAAAGATGATCTCAAGGAACTCTTAACTTTCTAGCCCAAGGAACAGGGAACCAGGAGCATCTTTAGAAGAGCTGAATGCCACACTTTAGGGAGTCTCTGAGGTTATCTAATTTACCCTCCTATCCTCCAATTTTCAGAAGAGTCAGAGGTTCTGAGTGATCAGTTGGCCACAGTCCCCCAAATGCTGATGTTGCTTCATGTTATTGCCACAGTCCCTGTTCCTGTGGTTTCTGAGCATGTTGGGACTTGGTTATGGTCACCACTCCTTCACCATTCTGAACACAGAATCAGGGTGAGAGTTCAGTAAAATACCATTTACTGTGTAATCTAACTAGGGTCCTTCAACAGAAAAGGCCAAGGGAACAAATGGTTAATGTGGATTAAAAACCACCTTAGAAATTAAGACCTCTTACTAAGAAATTTAAAAAAAAAAATTTCAGCTTGTTTTTATTTGATTTGGGGCCTAGAGAGGGCAACTTCTCCCAGGAATGTAAGTTTTGTCTGTCTCCTCTCCAAATGGCCTGGTGATATTTAAATAGGACTTAAATCATGTACCGGTTACTTGCAATTTGGCCCTTAAGATGTTATTAAACTTTTGAAGTAGATGTTTGGTCCAGAAATGGTACTTGGCATTTGCTGTGTTTATCTCTGGATTTTTTAAAGTTCTCAGTGTTGGTCAATGTATCCACCAACTTCCAGCCTTTTTAATCTCCATTTTTTTTCCAACTAGTGGATTTTCCTGGAGAACCCACTTTAGGTGCCTAAGGACCCCTGGTCCTCTATATTTGGTGAAGGAAAGAAGTGGGAGATGGGGTGTCAGAATGTGCTCTAGCATCTCCGTAATCTGCACACAGTTAATCTAAGGTTAGATCAACCAGGTTTTATTCTCTCAGCCCTGAGTCACATTCTCCCCCAGATTCTGTGCTTGTCCTAATGATCTGCACAGGCCTTGATGCCCCTCAGAGGTTGAAATTTTTCCAGACTCCTTCTAGGGAGGCTAGCTTGAGGTGAAACACACAGGTCCTGGGGTCAGGTTGCATGAATTTGCATATCAGGCCCCCCGCTACAATTGTGGGCGACCTGGGCATCCTCATCATTAAAATGGGAACATTGATGGTGCCTCAGAGATTTTGCAAGTCTAGTTCAGTGTCTGGAAAGTAGTATATGCTCACAAAATATTAGCTGTTATTATTAGGAGAACCCAGGCCTGCATGAAGTGGGCAAGGAAAGGAGGTAAATTCTAGTTGATGAGTTTTGCTACTGATGGACTTGTTTGGGGAATCTGATGACAGGAAATAGGTTTCTGGTTTATCAGAGCAAGTAATCTGCTCCGATAATTATAGGTCCATATTTATTATGAATTAAAAAAAACACTGAGGGCTGGGGATATAGCCCAGTTGGTAGAGTGCTTGCCTCACATACACAAGGCCCTGAGATCAATCCCCAGCACCAAAAACAAACAAACAAACAAACAAAAAAAAACCCCACTGAGGGTGGATTCTCTGAGAATCATAAAAATCACAGTCCCAGGTACCACTGCTGGGACTTCACAGAAGGCCAGGGAGCTCTCACCATGAAGCCAGAGGACCCCAAAGGTTCCAGTCCTCAGCAAGCACATAAGCAGAGCCAGGTCCAGATTTGGCCTCAGATAGCAAGGTCTCAGACCCTCACCCCTCAGCTATTCCAGTTAGTTTTATGTAAACGGACATCCCATAAGCCCTGCTTTTCACTGTTGTGTTGCCATGGTGAGCTGTCTTGCAAACACTGAGTTTTCCCTGGTCCTTCAACTTCCTCTCAGCAGCGAGCTTTCTTGTGTTTCCTCTTCTTTTGTACTGAGTCAGTCCCTTGTCTTAAACCTCACAAAACTGATACCTTACAGTGTCACTGGCCTGGGGAAATCCTCTTACTCAGTCCTTGGCCCAGAGCCAGCCCCATGCATCACTGGTAATATTGGCTCTAGGAGGGACAGAGACCAAGGGGTGAAATCTGAAGCTCCATGATGCCCCCCCCCTGACAGCATCTCTGAAACCTCAGTAACTCACCTAGTGCAGAGGCCACATGAGGTCCCATTTGTGTGCCTCTGCCTGGGGTTGGGGATGGGGACAAGAAATTCCAGGGAGGTTTTGGAAATGGAAATCACCAAGCAGCAGGGAAAGATAGAAGCCACACAGAGTCCCTCACTCCTTCTAGTCACAGCCTTGTAGACAGCATCCTGTAGCTTGCCCAACCCCATCACTTACCCAGGGCTCCTTGGCAGATGTCTGTGCGGGTGGCTCCACCAACAATAAATTGGGGTTCATCGCAGATCTCCTGGGAATGAGATCCACAAAATGCTGTCAGCCTAACAGGTGGGCACTGGTGTTATGAGGGACAGAAGGGAAAGGAAGGAAGTTTTGGAGTCCAAGTCAGAGCTCTGGGCTGTGGTGGGGTCCTTGTGACCTGAGCTCCATAGGTCAGGTCAGGGGTTAGCAGGGGCTTGTCCTGGTTGAGGAGGGCAGTCATTGGACCCCACACAGTCCCAACTGCCTGAAGCCTACTTCATTGGGCCATGGCAGAGAAGGAGTCCAGCCTTCTATGCCAGGCCTTTAGACCCACCCTTCCCCACTCCCCACACTCTAGAGCCACCTGAGCCGCCATGCTGGCGCCCTCTACTGTTTCTTCATGCAAATTGTCTGACTTTTAGAAGAATTCCTCTCTCCCACCATATCTTCCACATTGTCCCAGATTTCCCAGCTCTTTGCCATCCCCTCCAGGAAGCCCTGCTTCATAGGCCATTGGCCCCCATCCCTTTGAGTCCTGTCCCAGAGTCTCTATACTGTGCAGTTGAGAGTTGCACTGTGCACTCTCTGGTGGTGCTCATGGGGGTGCCTCTGGAGGGCAGGGGACTAGATCTAGCCCTCCTGAATTCCTCCAGAGGGCCATGGTACTTGGAGCATCCAAATATTCTGTAGCTGCTGTGTACCAGACACTGTGCATACAGCTTTATGTCAGGTAGCCCTGTCGGGAATGCAAGATGGGTATTAACCCCATCTAACAGGCAAGGAAATAGCTCAAGAAGGTAAGGTGATGTGTCCAAAGTTACACAGCTCAAAAGTGGCAGATGGCACTGGGACTGGAACTTACTGGTCTCAAGCTCAAACTCTTTCCACTCCTCTGCTGCCTCTAATTGATTAGTGTTAAAAACTTAGGGTGATTGTCACAAGCAGTGTGGTGGAAGCCAGCCTTGAACAATTCTGGCCCCTTCCAGCAGCCCTCTCTGAGCACGTTTCCTGCTCATGAAAAGCTCCACCCAAAAGCCACAGAGGAAGTCAGGGCCCAAATCTGAGCTTCTCTTGGCTCTGGTAACCTCAGTTTGCAGGATTCACATCTGCTACGAGAGCTGCTCGTGTATGCCCTGCCCCAGGACCCTACAGACCCTTCTCAAGCAGGAACTTTCCCTGGGTGAGATGGGATAGCCATCCTGGCTCAGATGGTAGAGACATTTCTAGAAGCACAGTTTGCATAGAGCACATTCCTTTCATGCTTCTCCATCAGTTTGTTTGGGGATGACAGGGACAATGAGAAAGCTCTCTGCCAAGGAAATGAGGCCAACTTTGCCCAAGACCTGCCAGCCAAGCACTTTTCCAGAGGATGGACCCTGACTGCACTTGGAGCTATGAGCATCTTTATAGAGAATCATGCTGATCATCTACCACTGTCAGGGACTTGGCCCAGGAGGATTTTTCCATTATGTTTCAGAAGCTTTCTCATGTCATTGATGCATCTCCAGAGAAGTCAAAGTTCAGACTTTGGAGCCTAGAGATGCTTCAGAAAACAGAACCCTGTGTACAGCATGTGGAGGTGTTGAATTAAATATGGGATGTAATCATCAGAAAAATGGGTAGGGGGTTTCAGCTATGGACTCTGATAACCTGATTGTGAATCCTGGAGCTCCTATGATAGTGGAAAGTTACTTTTTGGGGGTGGGGGTGATGCTGGGAATTGAATTCAGGGCCTTCTGCACTCTACCACTGAGCTCTACCCCCAGCCCAAGTTAAACTCTTTTTTTTTTTTTT